GAAAAGATTGTGTGAAACTACTCAAGCCCAACTGTACTGGATGGCTTTGTGTGTCAACTTAACACAAGCTGGAGTCATCAGAGAGGAAGGAGTCTCAACTGAGGAAATGCCTCCATGAGATCCAGCTGTAACATATTTTCTCAATTAGTGATCAATGGGGGAGGGCCCAGTCCCCGGTGGGTGCTGCCATCCCGCTGCCATCCCCGGATTTGTGGTCCTGGGTTATATAAGAAAGCAAGCTGAGCAAGCCAGGAGAAGCAAGCCAGTAAGCAACACCCCTCCATGTATCAGCTCCTGCCACCAGGATCCTGCCTTGTTTGAGTTCCTGCCCTGACTTCCTTGAGCAATGAACAGCAATGCTGAAGTGTAAGCCAAATAAGCCCTTTCCTCCCCAACTTGCTTTGTGGTCACGGCATTTCGTCGCAGCAACAGAAACCCTAACTAAGACACCAACCAACCAGAATATTGGGAGAAATGTATATTCTAATTAAAGGGTTTAGGAGGAAAACTTTTTCCAACTCATTTTCTATAGATAATCTTTGTGTTTTAGCACAAGATGCTAAACAAAACCATTTTATCTGTTGACAGGTTAAGTCAATGTTTCATGTGTTAATGACAACCAAGTATGACTAAACAGTGTTAGGATTCAGAAACTAGGTAGCCAAGAGGGTTCAGCAAGTAAAGGTGCTTGTTTCAAAAGTCTGCTGAACCCAGAAGCAGAGAACTGAATGTACGAAGTTGTCCTCTGACCTCCACACACAGGCCATGGTATAATCACCCATACTGTCCATCGTGCACGCACACCCGATAATAATTTTTAACTTAAAAAAAAAAAGATTCAGGACAGGCAATGAAGGCAAACACCTTTAATCCCAGCATTTGTGAGGCAAAGGAAAGCAGATCTCTTGGTTCAAGGACAGCCTGGTCTGCAAAGTGAGGTCCAGGACAGCCAAGGCTGTTACACAGTGAAGCCCTGTCTGAAAAAACCCATAGCTAAGAATTTTCTGTGTGTATATGTGTGTGCTTTCCTAAGTTTATAAGCAGCACATTCATGCAGGAACCCAGGGAGACCAGAAGGTGGTGACTGATCCCCTGAAGCAAAATGTACAGTTGTGAAGGTACAGACTGGATGTGGTGCTGGGAACCAAACCTGTCCTCTGCAAAAACTAATTCCTGTTAACCACAGAGCCATTGTCTCTCCAGCTCCGTGGGGAAAAAACAACTTTCTAACAGGATAAATTCAATTGTGATTATACTTGCCTCTTTCCTAAACACAGGAAATTCAACCTGAAGGGTTTTTTTTTTTTTTTTTTTTGGTTTTTTTTTTTAACTTATTTATTTATTGTGTATACAACATTCAGCTTCCATATATATCTGCACACCAGAAGAGGGCACCAGATCTCATAACGGATGGTTGTGAGCCACCATGTGGTTGCTGGGAATTGAACTCAGGACCTCTGGAAGAGCAGTCAGTGCTCTTAACCTCTGAACCATCTCTCCAGCCCCAACCTGAAGGTTCATAGTTAAATAATCTTTCTTGTTTTGTTTTAGTCAAGCTTGGTCTTTTTGTTGTTTTCATTTGCCTTTTGTTTTTGGTTTTGGTTTTTCAAGACAGGATTTCTCTCTGTAGCCCTGGTTGTCCTGGAACTCCCTCTGTAGACCACGCTGGCCTTAAACTCAGAGATCTGCCTGCCTCTGCCAGCAGAGTGCTGGGATTATAGGTGTGCACCACCATCTTTGTTTTGTTTTTTGGGTTTTTTGTTTTGTTTTTCAGAGAGAGAAAGTGTCTCTTACTCTAGTTCTGGGTGTCCTGGACATCAAAACCATGGCAATTCTGCCTCACCTCCCAAATACTGGGATTTTGTGTGGGATTAAGTGTGAGCCACCATATCCATCTTAAAATAAGGCTTTTTTTTTTTTTTTTAGAGGGAAGGTGCTAAAAACAAGAACATCTCAATTGGCAATATTTACTTGGCTTAGACTTAATCATTTCAGATTATCCCTGCGCTTACTCCAATCCTTTGCTTACTTGCTATATATGAGTAAAGTCTATCACTTAATTTATACTAATTGCTAACAAATGCTCATCTTCTATCAAGTAAATTATTCAAATGTATACAACTATCAACAGGAAAATTTGATTATAAGTATGCAAAATGAAATTAGTGGGGATTTTCTCTTTCACTGTTTCCTGGTCCCTGAATGAATAAAGAATCTATGAGCTGGGCATTGGTGGCGCACGCCTTTAATCCCAGTATTCAGAATGCAGAGGCAGATCTCTGTGAGTTTGAGACCAGCCTGGTCTACAAGAGCTAGTTCCAGGACAGCCTCCAAAGCCACAGAGAAACTCTGTCTCAAAAAACAAAACAAAAAAAGAATCTATGAGTTGTGCTTATTGCGGTGGTTGGTGATTTGAAACTGGGAAAGGGTGGGCAGATTTCTGTGAGTTCAAGGCCAACCTCGTGTACAAAGCACATTCCAAGCCAACTATAACTACACAGTGAGAACCAGTTCTTTTGGTTGTTTTTTTAATCTAGTCATTCAACCCAAGTTTATGCAGGCTTTAAGTCCCTAGATAATACAGACCCACAGTTCTAAAACAACTGGGATGTGTTTTAAATTACATTACTCCCCCCTTCACTTTTTCCTCTAAGCACTAAATATGCTCCTAGAGTCTGTAAGACAGCCAGGAAAAATGTTTTAAAATTCAAATTTTAAAATGCAGTGGTGTTAGTTACTTTAAAACCATAAGGAACTTTCAGCAGCATCTGGCAAGATGATGCATGTCTGAATTACATAAGGTAGAAGCAGATCAGAAGTTTAAAATTGGCCTCAAGTAGAGGCCAGCCTTGGCCATATTAGATCCTGTCTCAAAACCACAGACAAAATATTAACAGGCAGCCAGGCGGTGGTGGCGCATGCCTTCAATCCCAGCACTCAGGAGGCAGAGACAGGAGGATCTCTGAGTTCGAGGCCAGCCTGGTCTACAGAGAAAGTGCCAGGACTGACCCTAAAGCTACAGAGAAACCCTGTCTTGAAGAACAAAAATATACGTAATGTATGTACATATATATATATATATATTATAGGCATGCTAGTCATTATGGCTAAATTCTTTTTTAATTACATTTTATTTAATGAGTATCCATGTGTACACTGCACATGTAGAAGTCAGAGAACAACTTGTAGGAATTAGTTCTCTCCTTACACTAGTGGTCTGGGTCCCAGGAATCAAATTCTGGTTATTATAGGCTTGGATGGTAAAAAAAAAAAAAAAAAAACAAGCCTTTATATGCTGAGCCATTAGGCTGGCCCATCATGGATAAATTCTAAATCAACTTTCACATCCATCTGAGCTACTCATAGAAACAGGCAGGGATGATTTTTATATCATATGATTATTGTTCATTTTAGGATTTTTGTTTGGTTGACTGGGACAATACCTCCAACTCAAAATCTTCCTGCCTCAACTTGACTCCAGAGTGCTAGATCATAGGTTATGTACTATCAAGCCTAGCTCCATTATTTTGTTTTAGTTAGTAGTTGTAATTTTTATTTAGAAAAACAATTTTCTATTTTTATTTTTTTGGGGGGATGGAAGTTTGAGAAAAGGTTTCATATAACCCAGGCTGACCTTCAAATTCAATTCACTATGTAGCCAAGCATGACCCTGACTCCTCATGTTTTGCCATCACCTCTAAATGACTATCATCATGATAACTCAAAAAAAATTTTTTGGGGGGGGTTCAAGACAGGGTTTCTCTGTGGCTTTGGAAGCTGTCCTGGAACTAGCTCTTGTAGACCAGGCTGAAAATAACAATTCTTAAAACCCCATTTTGAACAGCCCTAGGAACTAGGGTTAAACTCACAAAAAGCACAAAAGTGCAAGGACCTGAGTTCAATCCCTAGTATCACAAAACAAATAGGTCTTATTCACTAAACACTAAGAAAATTATTCTGGCACACAATCACACCTACCTCTGTTTTTCTTACTATTATGACTATCACAGGAGATGGTAAACTATTGCAAATAAAACAGTATGCTAGTACTGGCCTAATGCTTCATTATTTGGAAAAATATTTTTCAATCAAGCATTCCTTCACTCATGTAAAGCCGCACAGAAATTGACTCTCCACTTTGCATGGATGCTAAATACCTGACACAGGTAACAAGTCCCTGAGTTTCAAGTCCACTTCTCCAAAGCAAAAACTTCAAACCACGCCGTTTTAGTCCGTTAGTTTTTTTCTTGACCTTTCACAAAACATTCCACTTCATGTTCAAATTTGAAGACTGAGATTTGCTAAAAGATTTTTCAAACACTATTATTGACTTCCTCCCCCGCTTCCCCCCCCCCCGGTAGATTTCGCAATTGAAACTTTCAATCCCTTCAGGAGCTTACCCATTAAACTAGAATAGTAGAGACAGGTAAAGTGACAGGCGAAATCGTATCCATGAATTTATGGTGGGGCTATTTGGCTTCCATTTAGTACCTTTACTACTTCGTTCTGTGTCTTTAGAAAAGCCAAAGAACCCAAACTTACTTTAAAAAAAAAAAAACTTGTAAAACAACCAACCAATTTAGGCCAGTTCTTTTATCTCCTAACGTGGAGATAAGCCCGGGTGGAAAACGAACTTTCTTAATACTTGTCAGTGCCTCAAGGTTGTTCCGATTAAAATAAAACCTTTCAACGCCAAGGCCGCAACCATGCATTCCAGCACTTCAACACTGATCAATAAAAAAAAATCCACCTTCCTGCCGACCCGGGCCCGTTAACACTGACAGT